GTTGAGACAGTAGTGTTGAGACAGTTGTGTTGAGACAGTAGTGTTGAGACAGTTGTTGAGACAGTAGTGTTGAGACAGTTGTGTTGAGACAGTTCTGTTAAGACAGTAAGTTGTGTTGAGACAGTAGTGTTGAGACAGTTGTGTTGAGACAGTAGTGTTGAGACAGTTGTTGAGACAGTTGTGTTGAGACAGTAGTGTTGAGACAGTAGTGTTGAGACAGTTGTGTTGAGACAGTAGTGTTGAGACAGTAGTGTTGAGACAGTTGTGTTGAGACAGTAGTGTTGAGACAGTTGTTGAGACAGTTGTGTTGAGACAGTTGTGTTGAGACAGTAGTGTTGAGACAGTAGTGTTGAGACAGTTCTGTTGAGACAGTAGTGTTGAGACAGTTGTGTTGAGACAGTAGTGTTGAGACAGTTGTGTTGAGACAGTTGTGTTGAGACAGTTGTGTTGAGACAGTAGTGTTGAGACAGTAGTGTTGAGACAGTTGTGTTGAGACAGTTGTGTTGAGACAGTAGTGTTGAGACAGTAGTGTTGAGACAGTTGTGTTGAGACAGTTGTGTTGAGACAGTAGTGTTGAGACAGTTGTGTTGAGACAGTTAGTAGTTTTGAGACAGTTGTGTTGAGACAGTAGTGTTGAGACAGTTGTGTTGAGACAGTAGTGTTGAGACAGTTGTGTTGAGACAGTAGTGTGAAGACAGTTAGTAGTTTTGAGACAGTTGTGTTGAGACAGTTGTGTTGAGACAGTAGTGTTGAGACAGTTGTGTTGAGACAGTAGTGTTGAGACAGTAGTGTTGAGACAGTTGTGTTGAGACAGTAGTGTTGAGACAGTTGTGTTGAGACAGTTGTGTTGAGACAGTTGTGTTGAGACAGTAGTGTTGAGACAGTTGTGTTGAGACAGTAGTGTTGAGACAGTAGTGTTGAGACAGTTGTGTTGAGACAGTAGTGTTGAGACAGTTGTGTTGAGACAGTAGTGTTGAGACAGTTGTGTTGAGACAGTAGTGTTGAGACAGTTAGTAGTGTTGAGACAGTTGTGTTGAGACAGTTGTGTTGAGACAGTAGTGTTGAGACAGTTGTGTTGAGACAGTAGTGTTGAGACAGTAGTGTTGAGACAGATGTGTTGAGACAGTAGTGTTGAGACAGTTGTGTTGAGACAGTAGTTTTGAGACAGTTGTGTTGAGACAGTAGTGTTGAGACAGTTGTGTTGAGACAGTAGTGTGAAGACAGTTAGTAGTTTTGAGACAGTTGTGTTGAGACAGTAGTGTTGAGACAGTTGTGTTGAGACAGTAGTGTTGAGACAGTTGTGTTGAGACAGTAGTGTTGAGACAGTTGTGTTGAGACAGTAGTGTTGAGACAGTTGTGTTGAGACAGTTAGTAGTTTTGAGATAGTTGTGTTGAGACAGTAGTGTTGAGACAGTTGTCTTGAGACAGTTAGTAGTGTTGAGACAGTTAGTAGTGTTGAGACAGTTGTGTTGAGACAGTAGTGTTGAGACAGTTGTGTTGAGACAGTAGTGTTGAGACAGTAGTGTTGAGACAGTTGTGTTGAGACAGTAGTGTTGAGTCAGTTGTTGAGACAGTTGTGTTGTGTTGAGACAGTAGTGTTGAGACAGTTGTGTTGTGTTGAGACAGTAGTGTTGAGACAGTTGTGTTGAGACAGTAGTGTTGAGACAGTAGTGTTGAGACAGTTAGTAGTGTTGAGACAGTAGTGTTGAGACGGTAGTGTTGAGACAGTAGTGTTGAGACAGTAGTGTTGAGACAGTTGTGTTGAGACAGTAGTGTTGAGACAGTAGTGTTGTGTTGAGACAGTTGTGTTGAGACAGTTAGTAGTGTTGAGACAGTTAGTAGTGTTGAGACAGTAGTGTTGAGACAGTAGTGTTGAGACAGTAGTGTTGAGACAGTTGTGTTGAGACAGTAGTGTTGAGACAGTAGTGTTGTGTTGAGACAGTAGTGTTGAGACAGTTAGTAGTGTTGAGACAGTTAGTAGTGTTGAGACAGTTAGTAGTGTTGAGACAGTTGTTGAGACAGTTGTGTTGTGTTGAGACAGTAGTGTTGAGACAGTTGTGTTGTGTTGAGACAGTAGTGTTGAGACAGTTGTGTTGAGACAGTAGTGTTGAGACAGTAGTGTTGAGACAGTTAGTAGTGTTGAGACAGTAGTGTTGAGACGGTAGTGTTGAGACAGTAGTGTTGAGACAGTAGTGTTGAGACAGTTGTGTTGAGACAGTAGTGTTGAGACAGTAGTGTTGTGTTGAGACAGTTGTGTTGAGACAGTTAGTAGTGTTGAGACAGTTAGTAGTGCTGAGACAGTAGTGTTGAGACAGCAGTGTTGAGACAGCAGTGTTGAGACAGTTGTGTTTGAGACAGCAGTGTTGAGACAGTAGTGTTGTGTTGAGACAGTAGTGTTGAGACAGTTAGTAGTGTTGAGACAGTTAGTAGTGTTGAGACAGTTAGTAGTGTTGAGACAGTTGTGTTGAGACAGTAGTGTTGAGACAGTAGTGTTGAGACAGTTGTGTTGAGACAGTAGTGTTGAGACAGTAGTGTGAAGACAGTTAGTAGTTTTGAGACTGTTGTGTTGAGACAGTAGTGTTGAGACAGTTGTGTTGAGACAGTAGTGTTGAGACAGTTAGTAGTGTTGAGACAGTTGTGTTGAGACAGTAGTGTTGAGACAGTTAGTAGTGTTGAGACAGTTGTGTTGAGACAGTAGTGTTGAGACAGTTGTGTTGAGACAGTAGTGTTGAGACAGTTAGTAGTGTTGAGACAGTTGTGTTGAGACAGTAGTGTTGAGACAGTTGTGTTGAGACAGTAGTGTTGAGACAGTAGTGTTGAGACAGTAGTGTTGAGACAGTGGTGTTGAGACAGTTCTGTTGAGACAGTAGTGTTGAGACAGTAGTTTTGAGACAGTAGTGTTGAGACAGTTGTGTTGAGACAGTTGTGTTGAGACAGTAGTGTTGAGACAGTTGTTGAGACAGTTGTGTTGAGACAGTAGTGTTGAGACAGTAGTGTTGAGACAGTTGTGTTGAGACAGTAGTGTTGAGACAGTAGTGTTGAGACAGTTGTGTTGAGACAGTAGTGTTGAGACAGTTGTTGAGACAGTTGTGTTGAGACAGTTGTGTTGAGACAGTAGTGTTGAGACAGTTGTGTTGAGACAGTTGTGTTGAGACAGTAGTGTTGAGACAGTAGTGTTGAGACAGTAGTGTTGAGACAGTAGTGTTGAGACAGTTGTGTTGAGACAGTTCTGTTGAGACAGTAAGTTGTGTTGAGACAGTAGTGTTGAGACAGTTGTGTTGAGACAGTAGTGTTGAGACAGTTGTGTTGAGACAGTTGTGTTGAGACAGTAGTGTTGAGACAGTAGTGTTGAGACAGTTGTGTTGAGACAGTAGTGTTGAGACAGTAGTGTTGAGACAGTTGTGTTGAGACAGTTGTGTTGAGACAGTAGTGTTGAGACAGTTGTGTTGAGACAGTTAGTAGTTTTGAGACAGTTGTGTTGAGACAGTAGTGTTGAGACAGTTGTGTTGAGACAGTAGTGTTGAGACAGTTGTGTTGAGACAGTAGTGTGAAGACAGTTAGTAGTTTTGAGACAGTTGTGTTGAGACAGTTGTGTTGAGACAGTAGTGTTGAGACAGTAGTGTTGAGACAGTTGTGTTGAGACAGTAGTGTTGAGACAGTTGTGTTGAGACAGTTGTGTTGAGACAGTTGTGTTGAGACAGTAGTGTTGAGACAGTTGTGTTGAGACAGTAGTGTTGAGACAGTAGTGTTGAGACAGTTGTGTTGAGACAGTAGTGTTGAGACAGTTGTGTTGAGACAGTTAGTAGTGTTGAGACAGTTGTGTTGAGACAGTTGTGTTGAGACAGTTGTGTTGAGACAGTAGTGTTGAGACAGTTGTGTTGAGACAGTAGTGTTGAGACAGTAGTGTTGAGACAGTAGTGTTGAGACAGTTGTGTTGAGACAGTTAGTAGTTTTGAGACAGTTGTGTTGAGACAGTAGTGTTGAGACAGTTGTGTTGAGACAGTAGTGTGAAGACAGTTAGTAGTTTTGAGACAGTTGTGTTGAGACAGTAGTGTTGAGACAGTTGTGTTGAGACAGTAGTGTTGAGACAGTTGTGTTGAGACAGTAGTGTTGAGACAGTTGTGTTGAGACAGTAGTGTTGAGACAGTTGTGTTGAGACAGTAGTATTGAGACAGTTGTGTTGAGACAGTTGTGTTGAGACAGTTAGTAGTTTTGAGACAGTTGTGTTGAGACAGTAGTGTTGAGACAGTTGTCTTGAGACAGCAGTGTGAAGACAGTTAGTAGTTTTGAGACAGTTGTGTTGAGACAGTAGTGTTGAGACAGTAGTGTTGAGACAGTAGTGTTGAGACAGTTAGTAGTGTTGAGACAGTTGTGTTGAGACAGTAGTGTTGAGACAGTTGTGTTGAGACAGTTGTGTTGAGACAGTTAGTAGTGTTGAGACAGTAGTGTTGAGACAGTAGTGTTGAGACAGTAGTGTTGAGACAGTTCTGTTGAGACAGTTCTGTTGAGACAGTAGTGTTGAGACAGTAGTTTTGAGACAGTAGTGTTGAGACAGTTGTGTTGAGACAGTAGTGTTGAGACAGTTGTTGAGACAGTTGTGTTGAGACAGTAGTGTTGTGACAGTAGTGTTGAGACAGTTGTGTTGAGACAGTAGTGTTGAGACAGTAGTGTTGAGACAGTTGTGTTGAGACAGTAGTGTTGAGACAGTTGTTGAGACAGTTGTGTTGAGACAGTTGTGTTGAGACAGTAGTGTTGAGACAGTTGTGTTGAGACAGTAGTGTTGAGACAGTAAGTTGTGTTGAGACAGTAGTGTTGAGACAGTTGTGTTGAGACAGTAAAAGTGTTGAGACAGTTGTGTTGAGACAGTAGTGTTGAGACAGTTGTGTTGAGACAGTTGTGTTGAGACAGTAGTGTTGAGACAGTTGTGTTGAGACAGTAGTGTTAAGACAGTTGTGTTGTGTTACGACAGTAGTGTGAAGACAGTTGTGTTAAGACAGTAGATGTCCATCAGTGCCCCAGTTATGTTCATCAGTGCCCCAGTTATGTTCATCAGAGCCCTAGTTATGTTCACCAGAGCCCTAGTTATGTTCATCAGAGCCCTAGTTATGTTCATCAGTGCCCCAGTTATGTTCATCAGTGCCCCAGTTATGTTTATCAGTGCCCTAGTTATGTTCATCAGTGCCCCAGTTATGTTCATCAATGCCCCAGTCATGTCCATCAGTACCCCAGTCATGTCCATCAGTGCCCCAGTTATGTTCATCAATGCCCCAGTTATGTTCATCAATGCCCCAGTCATGTCCATCAGTACCCCAGTCATGTCCATCAGTGCCCCAGTTATGTTCATCAATGCCCCAGTTATGTTCATCAATGCCCCAGTCATGTCCATCAGTACCCCAGTTATGTTCATCAGTGCCCCAGTTATGTTCATCAATGCCCCAGGTATGTTCATCAGTGCCCCAGTTATGTTCATCAGAGCCCTAGTTATGTCCATCAGTGCCCCAGTTATGTTCATCAGTGCCCCAGTTATGTTCATCAATGCCCCAGGTATGTTCATCAGAGCCCTAGTTATGTTCATCAATGCCCCAGGTATGTTCATCAGAGCCCTAGTTATGTTCATCAGTGCCCCAGGTATGTTCATCAGTGCCCCAGTTATGTTCATCAATGCCCCAGGTATGTTCATCAGTGCCCCAGTTATGTTCATCAATGCCCCAGGTATGTTCATCAGAGCCCTAGTTATGTTCATCAATGCCCCAGGTATGTTCATCAGAGCCCTAGTTATGTTCATCAATGCCCCAGTTATGTTCATCAGTGCCCCAGTTATGTTCATCAGAGCCCTAGTTATGTCCATCAGTGCCCCAGTTATGTTCATCAGTGCCCCAGTTATGTTCATCACTGCCCCAGGTATGTTCATCAGAGCCCTAGTTATGTTCATCAATGCCCCAGGCATGTTCATCAGAGCCCTAGTTATGTTCATCAGTGCCCCAGTTATGTTCATCAGAGCCCTAATTATGTTCATCAGAGCCCCAGTTATGTTCACCAGTGCCCCAGTTATGTTCATCAGAGCCCTAGTTATGTTCATCAGAGCCCCAGTTATGTTCATCAGAGCCCTAGTTATGTTCATCAGAGCCCCAGTTATGTTCATCAGTGCCCCAGTTATGTTCATCAGAGCCCTAGTTATGTTCATCAGAGCCCTAGTTATGTTCATCAGAGCCCTAGTTATGTTCATCAGTGGCCCAGTCATGTCCATCAGTGCCCCAGTTATGGTCATCAATGCCCCAGTCATGTCCATCAGTACCCCAGTCATGTCCATCAGTACCCCAGTTATGTTCATCAATGCCCCAGTTATGTTCATCAATGCCCCAGTCATGTCCATCAGTACCCCAGTTATGTTCATCAGTGCCCCAGTTATGTTCATCAATGCCCCAGGTATGTTCATCAGTGCCCCAGTTATGTTCATCAGAGCCCTAGTTATGTCCATCAGTGCCCCAGTTATGTTCATCAGTGCCCCAGGTATGTTCATCAATGCCCCAGGTATGTTCATCAGAGCCCTAGTTATGTTCATCAATGCCCCAGGTATGTTCATCAGAGCCCTAGTTATGTTCATCAGTGCCCCAGTTATGTTCATCAGTGCCCCAGTTATGTTCATCAATGCCCCAGGTATGTTCATCAGAGCCCTAGTTATGTTCATCAATGCCCCAGGTATGTTCATCAGAGCCCTAGTCATGTCCATCAGTGCCCCAGTTATGTTCATCAGTGCCCCAGTTATGTTCATCAATGCCCCAGGTATGTTCATCAGAGCCCCAGTTATGTTCATCAGAGCCCTAGTTATGTTCATCAGAGCCCCAGTTATGTTCATCAGTGCCCCAGTTATTTTCATCAGTGCCCCAGTCATGTTCATCAGAGCCCTAGTTATGTTCATCAGAGCCCTAGTTATGTTCATCAGAGCCCTAGTTATGTTCATCAGAGCCCTAGTTATGTTCATCAGTGCCCCAGTTATGTTCATCAGTGCCCCAGTTATGTTTATCAGTGCCCTAGTTATGTTCATCAGTGCCCCAGTTATGTTCATCAGAGCCCTAGTTATGTTCATCAATGCCCCAGTTATGTTCATCAGAGCCCTAGTTATGTTCATCAGTGCCCCAGTTATGTTCATCAGTGCCCCAGTTATGTTTATCAGTGCCCTAGTTATGTTCATCAATGCCCCAGTTATGTTCATCAGAGCCCTAGTTATGTTCATCAGAGCCCTAGTTATGTTCATCAGTGCCCAGCCCCAGTTATGTTCATCAATGCCCCAGTTTTGTTCATCAGAGCCCTAGTTATGTTCATCAGTGCCCCAGTTATGTTCATCAGTGCCCCAGTTATGTTCATCAGTGCCCCAGGTATGTTCATCAGAGCCCTAGTTATGTTCATCAATGCCCCAGTTTTGTTCATCAGAGCCCTAGTTATGTTCATCAGTGCCCCAGTTATGTTCATCAGTGCCCCAGTTATGTTCATCAGTGCCCCAGGTATGTTCATCAGAGCCCTAGTTATGTTCATCAATGCCCCAGTTATGTTCATCAGAGCCCCAGGTATGTTCATCTGAGCCCTAGTTATGTTCATCAGAGCCCCAGTTTTGTTCATCAGTGCCCTAGTTATGTTCATCAGTGCCCCAGTTATGTTCATCAGAGCCCCAGGTATGTTCATCAGAGCCCTAGTTATGTTCATCAATGCACCAGTTATGTTCATCAATGCACCAGGTATGTTCATCAGTGTCCCAGTTATGTTCATCAATGCCCCAGGTATGTTCATCAGAGCCCCAGGTATGTTCATCAGAGCCCCAGGTATGTTCATCAGTGCCCCAGTTATATTCATCAATGCCCCAGGTATGTTCATCAGAGCCCCAGGTATGTTCATCAGAGCCCTAGTTATGTTCATCAGAGCCCTAGTTATATTCATCAGAGCCCCAGGTATGTTCATCAGAGCCCTAGTTATGTTCATCAATGCCCCAGGTATGTTCATCAGTGACATCTGTCATTTGTCACTTTTATTTATCTTTGTACAACTGTGGCGTTAACCAACATTTACTAAGTCACAAGTGTATGAACCTGGACATCCTTGTCTCGCCAATGTTTCATATTTATGTCTGCCTGTGAAACATATGATCCATTCATTTGTCACCAAGGTTGGCTCTGACTATAGATCAAATTACAAAATAGTTGTTTTACAGGGAATCTGTACATGGAAAGTAATGATATCACGAACAGTTGACTTAAGTTACCTATTAAATGCCTGTAACCATGGTAACATAGGGATTTCCTACATGACTGAAATATATCCTGTAACCATGGTAACATAGGGATTTCCTACATGACTGAAATATATCGTGGACTCACTTTGACAAAGCTGCTAGTTTGAATAGAGATTTATTTCCCACTGTAGTATGTTGAGTCAACCACCGGACAGATAGTGTTGTCATACTATGTAGGTCAAGCTGAGTACATGTCAGCCCTACCAGGAAGCAGGATCAGCCCCATTTACATCGTTATCAATGAAGAATTATTTATTCCAGGACAAAGGACATTGAGGACACAGACAAAGTCTTTATTAACACTTCCATATTTTAAAGTAACAATGCGATACCGTCTTTGGTTAAACTTTCACAACATGGGGACAAGTATTGTCTATTTGAGTTGAGTCTTTGATGTTGGTATAGTGAGTATATAAACAGCAAACTCCTCTACCTTTGTGTCAGTGTGTAAAATAGGGAGACTACTGGAAGAGCCAGAGGTCTGTGTCTCAGTGTGTAAAATAAGGACACTTCTGGAAGAGGCGGAGGTCTCTCTGCTCTGCCTGTGTGTCAGTGTGTAAATACTAACATAGGGAGACTACTGGAAGAGCCAGAGGTCTGTATGTCAGTGTGTAAAATAAGGACACTTCTGGAAGAGGCGGAAGTGTGTCTGCTCTGCCTGTATGTCAGTGTGTAAAATAGGGAGACTACAGGAAGAGCCAGGGGTCTGTCTGCTCTGCATGTATGTCAGTGTGTAAAATAGGGAGACTACAGGAAGAGCCAGAGGTCTGTCTGCTCTGCCTGTGTGTCAGTGTGTAAAATAGGGAGACTATAGGAAGAACCAGAGGTCTGTCTGCTCTGTCTGTATGTCAGTGTGTAAAATAGGGAGACTACAGGAAGAGCCAGGGGTCTGTCTGCTCTGCCTGTGTGTCAGTGTGTAAAATAGGGAGACTATAGGAAGAACCAGAGGTCTGTCTGCTCTGTCTGTATGTCGGTGTGTAAAATAGGGAGACTACAGGAAGAACCAGAGGTCTGTCTGCTCTGTCTATTTGTCAGTGTGTAAAATAGGGAGACTATAGGAAGAGCCAGGGGTCTGTCTGCTCTGCCTGTGTGTGTCAGTGTGTAAAATAGGGAGACTATAGGAAGAGCCAGAGGTCTGTCTGCTCTGCCTGTTTGTCAGTTGTGTATTGATCATGATTTTGATCACTGGATTGTCTGATCCAGATTCAAATATTTATAGAGGGCCGCCATATTGCTGGAATATTGCTGGTGTGCAAACAGCAAAGGCAATTTTTTTTATGATTATTTAAGCATTCTCTGAAGTTATTGTTGTTGACGTTTATATTTATACAATTGACAATTTATAAAAGATCTATGACTTTATATAAGAAATCAACCCATTGTATATACTTTGCTTGTATCTGGGTGTACACAGTATTCTCCTGTGCATTAACAGGCCCACATCAAATTTGTTCAACCAATAAGTTACAATTGTTTTCAAAGTTGGGTAATGGCTTCTATGTATATAGGAAAGGTGCAGTTCTATGTATATAGGAAATGTGCAGTTCTATGTATATAGGAAATGTGCAGTTCAAAGTTGGCTAATGGCTTCTATGTATATAGGAAATGTGCAGTTCAAAGTTGGGAACAGATCTCGTAGTTTTGCCAAGAATAAACATTATTGATTGTTGATCAGCTGAAGTTGGGAATCACGGTATGAGTGAGCCTTGCTCACATTTTTGGCTTGTTGTAAGTGTGTATCTATCTGTCTCTCTGTCTCCTGTTTCAGGCCATAAACACGATAGTGAAGGAGACGGAGAACGTAGTATTGCGGCTACGTCAGAACGCCGATGCTCTGTCGTCGTGAACTCTGGATACTCTTAGCTCGGTCATCAGCGAGAAGAAAGCCTTCCGCAAACAGTATCTGGAGGAAAGGAACAGACTCGACTCAGACTTCAATAAGGTGAGAACAGACGCCAGTCTTGATACAGACTCGACTCAGACTTCAATAAGGTGAGAACAGACTCCAGACTTGATACAGACTCGACTCAGACTTCAATAAGGTGAGAACAGACTCCAGACTTGATACAGACTCGACTCAGACTTCAATAAGGTGAGAACAGACGCCAGCCTTGATACAGACTCGACTCAGACTTCAATAAGGTGAGAACAGACTCCAGACTTGATACAGACTCGACTCAGACTTCAATAAGGTGAGAACAGACGCCAGACTTGATACAGACTCGACTCAGACTTCAATAAGGTGAGAACAGACGCCAGATTTGATACAGACTCGACTCAGACTTCATACAGACACCATACAGACACGACTCAGACTTCAATAAGGTGAGAACAGACTCCAGACTTGATACAGACTCGACTCAGACTTCAATAAGGTGAGAACAGACTCCAGACTTGATACAGACCTCTCAGACTTCAATAAGGTGAGAACAGACTCCAGACTTGATACAGACCTCTCAGACTTCAATAAGGTGAGAACAGACTCCAGACTTGATACAGACTTCTCAGACTTCAATAAGGTGAGAACAGACTCCAGACTTGATACAGACTCGACTCAGACTTCATACAGACACCATACAGACACGACTCAGACTTCAATAAGGTGAGAACAGACTCCAGACTTGATACAGACTCGACTCAGACTTCATACAGACACCATACAGACACGACTCAGACTTCAATAAGGTGAGAACAGACGCCAGACTTGATACAGACTCGACTCAGACTTCAATAAGGTGAGAACAGACTCCAGACTTGATACAGACTCGACTCAGACTTCAATAAGGTGAGAACAGACGCCAGACTTGATACAGACTCGACTCAGACTTCAATAAGGTGAGAACAGACGCCAGCCTTGATACAGACTCGACTCAGACTTCACACAGACTCCATACAGACACGACTCAGACTTCAATAAGGTGAGAACAGACTCCAGACTTGATACAGACTCGACTCAGACTTCAATAAGGTGAGAACAGACTCCAGACTTGATACAGACTCGACTCAGACTTCAATAAGGTGAGAACAGACGCCAGCCTTGATACAGACTCGACTCAGACTTCACACAGACTCCATACAGACACGACTCAGACTTCAATAAGGTGAGAACAGACTCCAGACTTGATACAGACTCGACTCAGACTTCAATAAGGTGAGAACAGACTCCAGACTTGATACAGACCTCTCAGACTTCAATAAGGTGAGAACAGACGCCAGACTTGATACAGACTCGACTCAGACTCAATAAGGTGAGAACAGACGCCAGACTTGATACAGACTCGACTCAGACTTCAATAAGGTGAGAACAGACGCCAGACTTGATACAGACCTCTCAGACTTCAATAAGGTGAGAACAGACGCCAGACTTGATACAGACTCGACTCAGACTTCATACAGACACCATACAGACACGACTCAGACTTCAATAAGGTGAGAACAGACTCCAGACTTGATACAGACTCGACTCAGACTTCATACAGACACCATACAGACACGACTCAGACTTCAATAAGGTGAGAACAGACGCCAGACTTGATACAGACTCGACTCAGACTTCAATAAGGTGAGAACAGACTCCAGACTTGATACAGACTCGACTCAGACTTAAATAAGGTGAGAACAGATGCCAGACTTGATACAGACTCGACTCAGACTTCAATAAGGTGAGAACAGACGCCAGACTTGATACAGACTCGACTCAGACTTCAATAACGTGAGAACAGACTCCAGACTTGATACAGACCTCTCAGACTTCAATAAGGTGAGAACAGACTCCAGACTTGATACAGACTCGACTCAGACTTCATACAGACACCATACAGACACGACTCAGACTTCAATAAGGTGAGAACAGACTCCAGACTTGATACAGACTCGACTCAGACTTCATACAGACACCATACAGACACGACTCAGACTTCAATAAGGTGAGAACAGACGCCAGACTTGATACAGACTCGACTCAGACTTCAATAAGGTGAGAACAGACGCCAGACTTGATACAGACTCGACTCAGACTTCAATAAGGTGAGAACAGACTCCAGACTTGATACAGACACCAAAAAGACTACACACAGGCTTCACACAGACACCATACAGTCACAGACACCATAGTCGCAGACACCATACAGTCACAGACACTATACAGTCACAGACACTATACAGTCACAGACACCATACAGTCACAGACACCATACAGTCACAGACACCATACAGTCACAGACACCTCATAGACACCATACAGTCACAGACACCATACAGTCACAGACACCATACAGTCACGGACGACATACAGTCACAGACACTATACAGTCACAGACACTATACAGTCACAGACACCATACAGTCACAGACGGCATACAGACATCATACAGTCACAGACACCATAGTCACAGACACCATACAGTCAGAGACACTATACAGTCACAGACACTATACAGTCACAGACACCATACAGTCACAGACACCATACAGTCACAGACACCATACAGTCACAGACGGCATACAGACATCATACAGTCACAGACACCATAGTCACAGACACCATAGTCACAGACACCATACAGTCAGAGACACTATACAGTCACAGACACCATACAGTCACAGACACCATACAGTCACAGACACCATACAGTCACAGACACTATACAGTCACAGACACCATACAGTCACAGACACCATACAGTCACAGACACCATACAGTCACAGACACCATACAGTCACAGACACCATACAGACACAGACACCATACAGTCACAGACACCTCATAGACACCATACAGTCACAGACACCATACAGTCACAGACACCATACAGACACAGACGCCATACAGTCACAGACACCTCATAGACACCATACAGTCACAGACACCATACAGTCACAGACACCATACAGTCACAGACACCATACAGACACAGACACCATACAGTCACAGACACCTCATAGACACCATACAGTCACAGACACCATACAGTCACAGACACCATACAGTCACAGACACCATACAGACACCAAAAAGACTCCACACAGACTTCACACAGACTTCACACAGACACCACACAGACTCCACACAGACTTCACACAGACTCCACACAGACTCCACACAGACTCCACACAGACTTCACACAGACTCCACACAGACTCCACACAGACTCCACACAGACACCACACAGACTTCACACAGACTCCACACAGACACCACACAGACACCACACAGACTCCACAACTCCACACAGACACCACACAGACTTCACACAGACTTCACATCTCACCTTTGTGTGTTCCAGATGCAGGAGAACGTCCAGGGCAACAAGTCGGAATATATCCGCATGGCCGACAAGCTGAAGCAGGAGCGAGCCAAGTACATGGACATACAGACAAAAGGTAGGTCGAAGACGTGTTTCTACTCACCCTGTCTAGTTTCTTCTGTCTAGGTATCTGTGCAATACCTCGGTGGTGAAGTAGGATATGTCATCTCCTGTTGACTCTTGTTCGCAGGTAAGATCGGCAGCAAGCTGGAGGATGCGCGAGCGAAGTACCACAAGACTACAGTGAAGCTACACAAACTACATAACGACTATGTCGTGTCACTGAAAGACGCAACAGAGTTCCAGACTGGTTACCTCGGCACCACACTCCCCGCCTTCCTTGACTCTCACCAGGCCGTGCAGGAGACACTTCTACACCAGAGGTCAGAATCAGATCCACTCTTTAGTCTCGTCGGTAAATCACTTGATGCACGGTTGATCCAGAAGTGTTGCCTCACTCGCTTATCAACATATCCAACAACTCACTCACTCCTCTACCCATTCAACAACTCATGAAACCAATCCTCAACCAACCCACTCACACACTCACTCACTCACTCACTCTCTCTTCAACCCACTCACTCACCAATTCACACACACACACACTCACTCACTCACTAACCCACTCACACACAAAGTCGTTCACTCGTCAACCCACTCACTCACCAACCTATTCACTCAACCGCTCACTCACCAACTCACTCACTCACCAACAAACTCACTCACTCTTCAACCCACTCACTCACCAACAAACTCACTCACCAACAAACTCACTCACCCACTCACCAACAAACTCACTCACTCTTCAACCAACTCACCAACAAACCCACTCACCAACCCACTTACTCACCAACAAACTCACTCACTCGTCAACCCACTCACCCACTCACTCACCAACCTATTCACTCACCCGCTCACTGACCAACTCACTCACCAACAAACTCACTCACTCTTCAACCCACTCACTCACCAACAAACTCACTCACTCTTCAACCCACTCACTCACCAACAGACTCACTCACTCTTTAACCCATTCACCCACTCGCTCTTCAACCCACTCACTCACTCATCCAATCCCTCTCTGACTGTTCCAGTAAGTTTGTGCTGGAGGACTTTGTGGAGCTCACCAACCCACTCACTCACTCTTCAACCCACTCACTCACTCACTCACTCATCCAATCCCTCTCTGACTGTTCCAGTAAGTTTGTGCTGGAGGACTTTGTGGAGCTCACCAACCCACTCACTCACTCTTCAACCCACTCACTCACTCACTCATCCAATCCCTCTCTGACTGTTCCAGTAAGTTTGTGCTGGAGGACTTTGTGGAGCTCACCAACCCACTCACTCACTCTTCAACCCACCCACTCACTCACTCATCCAATCCCTCTCTGACTGTTCCAGTAAGTTTGTGCTGGAGGACTTTGTGGAGTTGACCAACCTGTCCAGTGAGGAGTACCAGGCCATGCATCGGTCCATGGAGGATGCTGTCAACAAGATCGAGCCCACCACGGAATACACACCCGGCTTCATCACCAAGTACAAGTGAGTAGTTAGTCACAATACTGAATGCATTGAGCTCAGGAAATACTTGATGAGCAGTCCCCAGGCTCGTGTGTGTCTGTCTACCCCTGCTTTTAGATGTGACTTGACTATTGTCCGTGACACAATGGTCCACGGTGTCAGACTTAAGCGTTACGTTTGTTCCCCACGTTGCAGGAGCGAGAAGCTGTCGAAGCTGACGTTTGACTTTGATGACAAGCTGTTGGACGACTACAAGGGCGTCCTGAAACCCAGCACCTTGCAGATAGACGACGCCACCTGTGAATCTCTGCAGCACAAGTAAGTGAACCATTAGAAAGTGCTGACTCAGCACCCTGCAGATAGACGACGCCACCTGTGAATCTCTGCAGCACAAGTAAGTGAACCATTAGAAAGTGCTGACTCAGCACCCTGCAGATAGACGACGCCACCTGTGAATCTCTGCAGCACAAGTAAGTGAACCATTAGAAAGTGCTGACTCAGCACCCTGCAGATAGACGACGCCACCTGTGAATCTCTGCAGCACAAGTAAGTGAACCATTAGAAAGTGCTGACTCAGCACCCTGCAGATAGACGACGCCACCTGTGAATCTCTGCAGCACAAGTAAGTGAACCATTAGAAAGTGCTGACTCAGCACCCTGCAGATAGACGACGCCACCTGTGAATCTCTGCAGCACAAGTAAGTGAACCATTAGAAAGTGCTGACTCAGCACCCTGCAGATAGACGACGCCACCTGTGAATCTCTGCAGCACAAGTAAGTGAACCATTAGAAAGTGCTGACTCAGCACCCTGCAGATAGACGACGCCACCTGTGAATCTCTGCAGCTCATGTAAGTGAACCATTAGAAAGTGCTGACTCAGCACCCTGCAGATAGACGACGCCACCTGTGAATCTCTGCAGCTCATGTAAGTGAACCATTAGAAAGTGCTGACTCAGCACCCTGCAGATAGACGACGCCACCTGTGAATCTCTGCAGCACAAGTAAGTGAACCATTAGAAAGTGCTGACTCAGCACCCTGCAGATAGACGACGCCACCTGTGAATCTCTGCAGCTCATGTAAGTGAACCATTAGAAAGTGCTGACTCAGCACCCTGCAGATAGACGACGCCACCTGTGAATCTCTGCAGCTCATGTAAGTGAACCATTAGAAAGTGCTGACCATGTACAGCACACTCTGTTGGTTGACGTTATGTTAATTGGTGTATAGTAAAATAATATTGTTTGAGATGATGTTGTGCAGGACGGTGTTGTGTGTTATTCAGGAAGTCTGAGTATGGGGATCAGTTGGCAGCCTCCCAGTCAACGATGGAGCAGAAGACGTCATTGCTGCAGGAATTAGCCGAAGACGTGCATCAGCTGGACGACAAAGTTGTAGAGGATCACACACTTGACAACATCACACAGTGAGTCACACACCCTCAATAGAAAGCTGCGTTGGCCGAGTGGGTTAGTTGGATGCCTTTTTGTGCTGGCGATTAGGTGCCTGACTCTGAGTGTTTGGGTTCGAATCCCAGATGGGACTCTCTATACCCACTAAAATCTGTACTTGACTGAGAAAGTATAATCACAAGTATAACTGACTGAATGAGTTTGGTTTTATGCCGCGTTTAGCAATATTCCAGCAACATCAATACGATTTTCGCTTTGTTTTTGGCGTGAAAAGTTGAACATTGAAAGAATGGGGACACCAGAAATGGGCTTCACACATTGTGCCCATGCAGGGATTCAAACCCGGGTCTTCGGCGTGACGAGCCAACGCTTTAACCATTAGGCTACCCCACCGCCCCATCACAAGTATACCATATGAACTCACTTCACTGTTGTGATCTGGCTACAGTGACACACACTTGCCCATGTTTGCTGACCGTCAGGACAGTGAATATGCATGTAGCGATTGTCTCCCTTTGAATCCAAAGGAAGACATGCCGAAGGGGATGACTTCTCTGCCTCTGTTGCCGTCATCATGTCAGTTGAGGGAAAGACAGTCATTGTTAATGGTGACACATTGTTGAAATTGATAGTGGATGCTGAGACGATGTGTTGTAGGTACGTGGACAAACGGAAGCAGCAAGAGATCGTGAAGAAGGAGATTGCTGAAGAGAAGGTGCGGGTGGAGAGACTGACAGAGTTACAGTCGTACATCGGCCGGGGTCTCGACGAGATAGGAGATAACCCTCCCCCTGTCCTCACAGACCTGCAGGAGAACGGAGACCTGGTGAGTTCAGAGATGCCAACCCTTACGCTTTGGGCGTAATTATTACGATTTTTACCATTAAATTATGCCATTACACTTTATCTGTGAAAATTACGCTTTTCTACCCGTTTTGCGAAAATCAATAAAGTGGATATAATTTCACAGGGAATATTTTTCGTAACGCACTAGTGCAGGGGTTCAGAAATGGCCTTGCACCGATAGGAATCGAGCTCATTCAAATTAACTTGTAAGGAATTCAAGTATTTTGTGTCACCTGACCAACAAGTTTTGATGTATGGAACTGCATAATGATTGGTCACGTGTATTTCTGTCTAGAATCTTTCCTATTCATGTGAATAAACCTTTTTAAAAGCAATTTTTATAAAGTTATCACCTTTCACGCTGTAAGTGTTACACTTTTTAGGTCCAAATTACACTTTTTGACCTCCAGTATTACACTTAGACCCAAATTAGAGTTGGCATCTCTGTGAGTTGTGCAACTATATCCTAAGCACAAATCTGTTGGCTTCTGATTGGTTTTTCCTTTAACATGGATGACCTTGACCTTGCAGGAGACGAGTTCCAACACGTCCACGTCCTCGACAGGGAAGAAGAAGAAGTTCTCTCTGCCCAACATCACAGGACTGAGGAAGAACAACCAGGGCTTCAAGTCCAGCAGGGACGACGTGGACAAGTCCAGTCGGGATGACCTCCTGGAGACAGGTCACGGCGCCCGTGAGAGCTACGAGCAGACGGAGCCCGGCAGCTTCAGTAACGGCCCCCGAGCCTCGATGAACATGATGAGGGAGGCGGGACTCATGCAGGTGGGTGACGAGAGGCAGGTGTGTGTATCGTTGAAGTTGTTACTCACAGTCTCATCCTCTTGTGTGCAGGGATATATAATTCCTGTGTACAGTGTAAACATGTGTATGTGAGAGTGAGTTTAGTTTTACACCGCACTCCGCAATACTCCAGCTATATGGCGGTGGTCTGTAAATAATTGAGTCTGGACCAGACAATCCAGTGATCACCAGCATGAGCATCGATCTACATGATTTAGATATGATGACATGTGTCAACCAAGTCAGCAAGCCTGACCACCAATCCCGTTAGTCACCTCTTACGACTAGCATGGGCTACTGAAGATCAATTCTAACCTGGATCTTCATGGGTCGAACGTGTGTAAGGTTACGTACCTGCTTGTATGCCATATTGACTTACTGAGGTTACTGACAAGCTCATCCTCTTGTGTGCAGGACGTGGGAATCCCCCAGCCAAAGTCTCGTCTGGAAGATGAGGAGTGGTTCCATGGAGTGTTGCCGCGGGAGGAAGTGCAAAGACTGTTGAATAACGACGGAGACTATCTTGTGCGCGAGAGTAAAAACAAACGAACAAATGAAACCCAATATGTGTTGTCTGTCTACTGGGCGGGATATAAACACTTCATCATTCAGGGAGATGTAAGTATCTGTCGGTCTACTGGTCGGGATATAAACACTTCATCATTCAGGGAGATGTAAGTATCTGTCTGTCTACTGGGCGGGATATAAACACTTCATCATTCAGGGAGATGTAAGTATCTGTCGGTCTACTGGGCGGGATATAAACACTTCATCATTCAGGGAGATGTAAGTATCTGTCTGTCTACTGGGTGGGATATAAACACTTCATCATTCAGGGAGATGTAAGTATCTGTCTGTCTACTGGTCAGGATATAAACACTTCATCATTCAGGGAGATGTAAGTATCTGTCTGTCTACTGGTGGATATAAACACTTCATCATTCAGGGAGATGTAAGTATCTGTCTGTCTACTGGTCGGGATATAAACACTTCATCATTCAGGGAGATGTAAGTATCTGTCTGTCTACTGGTCGGGATATAAACACTTCATCATTCAGGGAGATGTAAGTATCTGTCGGTCTACTGGGCGGGATATAAACACTTCATCATTCAGGGAGATGTAAGTATCTGTCTGTCTACTGGTCGGGATATAAACACTTCATCATTCAGGGAGATGTAAGTATCTGTCTGTCTACTGGGCGGGATATAAACACTTCATCATTCAGGGAGATGTAAGTATCTGTCTGTCTACTGGTCGGGATATAAACACTTCATCATTCAGGGAGATGTAAGTATCTGTCTGTCTACTGGTCGGGATATAAACACTTCATCATTCAGGGAGATGTAAGTATCTGTCTGTCTACTGGTCGGGATATAAACACTTCATCATTCAGGGAGATGTAAGTATCTGTCTGTCTACTGGTCGGGATATAAACACTTCATCATTCAGGAGATGTAAGTATCTGTCTGTCTACTGGTGGGGATATAAACACTTCATCATTCAGGGAGATGTAAGTATCTGTCTGTCTACTGGTGAGGATATAAACACTTCATCATTCAGGGAGATGTAAGTATCTGTGTGTCTACTGGTGGGGATATAAACACTTCATCATTCAGGGAGATGTAAGTATCTGTGTGTCTACTGGTGGGATATAAACACTTCATCATTCAGGGAGATGTAAGTATCTGTGTCTACTGGTCGGGATATAAACACTTCATCATTCAGGAGATGTAAGTATCTGTGTGTCTACTGATGTAAGTGGGATATAAACACTTCATCATTCAGGGAGATGTAAGTATCTGTGTGTTTGTGAGGGATATAAACACTTCATCATTCAGGGAGATGTAAGTATCTGTCTGTGTACTGGTGGGGATATAAACACTTCATCATTCAGGGAGATGTAAGTATCTGTGTGTTTGTGAGGGATATAAACACTTCATCATTCAGGGAGATGTAAGTATCTGTGTGTCTACTGGTGGGGATATAAACACTTCATCATTCAGGGAGATGTAAGTATCTGTGTGTTTGTGGTCGGGATATAAACACTTCATCATTCAGGGAGATGTAAGTATCTGTGTGTTTGTGGGGATATAAACACTTCATCATTCAGGGAGATGTAAGTATCTGTGTGTTTGTGGGATATAAACACTTCATCATTCAGGGAGATGTAAGTATCTGTGTGTCTACTGGGGATATAAACACTTCATCATTCAGGGAGATGTAAGTATCTGTGTGTTACTGTGAGGATATAAACACTTCATCATTCAGGAGATGTAAGTATCTGTGTGTTTGTGGGGATATAAACACTTCATCATTCAGGAGATGTAAGTATCTGTGTGTTTGTGGGGATATAAACACTTCATCATTCAGGGAGATGTAAGTATCTGTGTGTTTGTGGGGATATAAACACTTCATCATTCAGGGAGATGTAAGTATCTGTGTGTTTGTGGGGATATAAACACTTCATCATTCAGGGAGATGTAAGTATCTGTGTGTTTGTGGGGATATAAACACTTCATCATTCAGGGGAGATGTAAGTATCTGTGTGTTTGTGGGGATATAAACACTTCATCATTCAGGGAGATGTAAGTATCTGTGTGTGTTTGTGGGGATATAAACACTTCATCATTCAGGGGAGATGTAAGTATCTGTGTGTTTGTGGGGATATAAACACTTCATCATTCAGGAGATGTAAGTATCTGTGTGTTTGTGGGGATATAAACACTTCATCATTCAGGGAGATGTAAGTATCTGTGTGTTTGTGGGGATATAAACACTTCATCATTCAGGGAGATGTAAGTATCTGTGTGTTTGTGGGAGGATATAAACACTTCATCATTCAGGGAGATGTAAGTATCTGTGTGTTTGTGGGGATATAAACACTTCATCATTCAGGGAGATGTAAGTATCTGTGTGTTTACTGTGGGGATATAAACACTTCATCATTCAGGGAGATGTAAGTATCTGTGTGTTTGTGAGGGATATAAACACTTCATCATTCAGGGAGATGTAAGTATCTGTGTGTTTGTGAGGGATATAAACACTTCATCATTCAGGGAGATGTAAGTATCTGTGTGTTTGTGGGGATATAAACACTTCATCATTCAGGGAGATGTAAGTATCTGTGTGTTTGTGGGGATATAAACACTTCATCATTCAGGAGATGTAAGTATCTGTGTGTTTGTGAGGATATAAACACTTCATCATTCAGGGAGATGTAAGTATCTGTGTGTTTGTGGGGATATAAACACTTCATCATTCAGGGAGATGTAAGTATCTGTGTGTTTGTGGGGGATATAAACACTTCATCATTCAGGGAGATGTAAGTATCTGTGTGTTTGTGGGGATATAAACACTTCATCATTCAGGGAGATGTAAGTATCTGTGTGTTTGTGGGGGATATAAACACTTCATCATTCAGGAGATGTAAGTATCTGTGTGTTTGTGGGGATATAAACACTTCATCATTCAGGAGATGTAAGTATCTGTGTGTTTGTGGGGATATAAACACTTCATCATTCAGGGAGATGTAAGTATCTGTGTGTTTGTGGGGATATAAACACTTCATCATTCAGGGAGATGTAAGTATCTGTGTGTTTGTGGGGATATAAACACTTCATCATTCAGGGAGATGTAAGTATCTGTGTGTTTGTGGGGATATAAACACTTCATCATTCAGGGAGATGTAAGTATCTGTGTGTTTGTGGGGATATAAACACTTCATCATTCAGGGAGATGTAAGTATCTGTGTGTTTGTGGGGATATAAACACTTCATCATTCAGGGAGATGTAAGTATCTGTGTGTTTACTGGAGGATATAAACACTTCATCATTCAGGGAGATGTAAGTATCTGTGTGTTTGTGAGGATATAAACACTTCATCATTCAGGGAGATGTAAGTATCTGTGTGTCTTGTGGGGATATAAACACTTCATCATTCAGGGAGATGTAAGTATCTGTGTGTCTTGTGGAGGATATAAACACTTCATCATTCAGGGAGATGTAAGTATCTGTGTGTTACTGGGGGATATAAACACTTCATCATTCAGGGAGATGTAAGTATCTGTGTGTTACTGTGGGGATATAAACACTTCATCATTCAGGGAGATGTAAGTATCTGTGTGTCTTGTGGGGATATAAACACTTCATCATTCAGGGAGATGTAAGTATCTGTGTGTCTACTGTGAGGATATAAACACTTCATCATTCAGGGAGATGTAAGTATCTGTGGTCTTGTGGTGGGATATAAACACTTCATCATTCAGGGAGATGTAAGTATCTGTGTGTTTGTGGGGATATAAACACTTCATCATTCAGGGAGATGTAAGTATCTGTGTGTGTGCTGTGGGGATATAAACACTTCATCATTCAGGGAGATGTAAGTATCTGTGTGTTTGTGGGGATATAAACACTTCATCATTCAGGGAGATGTAAGTATCTGTGTGTTTGTGAGGATATAAACACTTCATCATTCAGGGAGATGTAAGTATCTGTGTGTCTACTGTGGGGATATAAACACTTCATCATTCAGGGAGATGTAAGTATCTGTGTGTTTGTGGGGATATAAACACTTCATCATTCAGGGAGATGTAAGTATCTGTGTGTTTGTGAGGATATAAACACTTCATCATTCAGGGAGATGTAAGTATCTGTGTGTCTTGTGGGGATATAAACACTTCATCATTCAGGGAGATGTAAGTATCTGTGTGTTTGTGGGGATATAAACACTTCATCATTCAGGAGATGTAAGTATCTGTGTGTTTGTGGAGATATAAACACTTCATCATTCAGGGAGATGTAAGTATCTGTGTGTTTGTGGAGGATATATAAACACTTCATCATTCAGGGAGATGTAAGTATCTGTGTGTTTGTGGGGGATATAAACACTTCATCATTCAGGAGATGTAAGTATCTGTGTGTTTGTGGGGATATAAACACTTCATCATTCAGGAGATGTAAGTATCTGTGTGTTTGTGGGGATATAAACACTTCATCATTCAGGGAGATGTAAGTATCTGTGTGTTTGTGAGGGGATATAAACACTTCATCATTCAGGGAGATGTAAGTATCTGTGTGTCTTGTGGGGATATAAACACTTCATCATTCAGGGAGATGTAAGTATCTGTGTGTTTGTGAGGATATAAACACTTCATCATTCAGGGAGATGTAAGTATCTGTGTGTTTGTGGGGATATAAACACTTCATCATTCAGGGAGATGTAAGTATCTGTGTGTTTGTGGGGATATAAACACTTCATCATTCAGGGAGATGTAAGTATCTGTGTGTCTACTTGTGGGGATATAAACACTTCATCATTCAGGGAGATGTAAGTATCTGTGTGTCTTGTCGGGATATAAACACTTCATCATTCAGGGAGATGTAAGTATCTGTCGGTCTGTTTGTAGGGATATAAACACTTCATCATTCAGGGAGATGTAAGTATCTGTGTGTCTTGTGGGGATATAAACACTTCATCATTCAGGGAGATGTAAGTATCTGTGTGTCTACTGGTGGGGATATAAACACTTCATCATTCAGGGAGATGTAAGTATCTGTGTGTTTGTGGGGATATAAACACTTCATCATTCAGGGAGATGTAAGTATCTGTGTGTCTACT